ATAAAATATGAGTTTTTGTGGCCTTATAAAGTGTGCAAATCTACATGTGGGGTTAAATCTGATCTAAATATTTCTTGTCATTTCATGTTTCACGTTTAATCCTAAAAAAATCAAAGATAAAGTCAGCACAATGAATGAAAACTACCTTCACTACCTTTTATATAAAAGGGATGTATACAGCCCTTTTATATAGTCATTTGACCAATGGAAATACTGTGTATATATATAGGATAATAGGTTACAACCTTGTAACTTTGGCAACTGTTGGTGGGCCAAATCAAATGGCTTGGCGGGCCAAATTTGGCCCGCGGGCCCCACTTTGGGCTCCTCTGTGCTACAGCTACATGTTGGAAATGAACAAGTGTGAACAAGTCTGCCAGGACTGGTGGAGGAAGACCACACCATTTCTCATTTCTCAACATGAGAAGACTGCAGTCTAGAGCTGCATCAACTATTCAAAATATTTGATTATGTCAATTATTAAAAAAAATATAGTCAACACAGAATTTTATTATTGACTGTTCGTATTATTTACTACATAAATGTTCATTTGTAACTGCAATTAAATGAATGTACTGTTGGGGGCTAAATTGCTTCTATTGTTGTTGTCATTTCAATGTTTACTAAGGAAGTAGAACGAGCCGGTCTGCAAACCATAGAAGAAGACGCAGCAGACCCATCAAAAAGTGACAAAAATGGCAGAATGCAAAGATGGTCAATTTGAAGAGGCAAAAAAAAAAAAAAACAAGACTAAAAAGTTGGCTACAATTCATCTAAATGTACGTTGTTATTAGCTGTTTATGATTACTTGCACTATAATTTGTATTTCATTTCATTTTTTTACAATCACACGTGTTAATGGTAGAAATGAACGTGATAAATCCACTAGGCTTAAGTTTCATGGGTCGTTGCTTTAATTTGCATTGGGGACTTATGCTAAGGTAGAAGGACTGCATAACAGGGAGCCAATTACAGGTGTGAGCAGGTGGGATGAGATGTGTCCTGGAGCTGGAACAGGATGTGCGCTCACAGGAAACGTGACAGAAATAACAGTGACTAATCAACTAATCAATTAATCGAAAAAATAAGAGACGGATTAGTTGACTGTCAGAATAATCGTTAGGTGCAGCCCAACTGCAGCCTAAAACCCTGGCATGAACAGTGGTGGGCAATGTACATTTTTTTCAAGAAACATTAGGCATTCATCAAGATGTTTTATCAACGCTTACAGGGACCATTCAGGGTCCAGTAGGCTCTTTGTTTCTGACTCAGAGGTTCCTGCAGTGTTCAGTCCACTCCCACACCCCCCAACAGGCAGTTCTGAGCCACACTCAGCTTGTTTTAGCAGCAACAGAATCTGTCAGAGTCTGTCTCTCTTGTTAGCCTTCAAAGAGCCCACACGTGTACATCCAAGCACACAAACATGTGATCACACACTCACACCTTCTTTCCCACCAACACAACCAAATGAGCTATTGTTAGGTGGCTCCAGAAGCCTGTTTGTCTCTGCTCAGCACTGCACTTATACAGTCAGTGTAGAGGCAGGCCATGTAGTCGGCTGAATACCAAGAAGGCACATCTGTGGACAGCACCGTGTTAGTAGGGCTGTGTATTGGCAAGAATTTGGCGATACGATACATATCATAACAGAGGGGTCACGATACGATATATCCCGATATATTGCGATACTGTAAGCAAGGCAGTATATTGTGATATATTGCAATTTTTTTGTCCAAAAATTCTATTAAATAAAAACCTCTTACTGGAAAAAAAAAGAAAAGCTAATGTTTACTTACAATGCTAATGCTACCCTTACTCTCTGGCGCTCAAGAGGTAGAGGAGCCAAATGGCTGGCTCACTGCTGCCAACTAGTGGTCAGAGGCTGAACTACAACATAAAAATGAACGGTTGGCAAGAAGGTTGACATTTTAAACCTTAACAAAAATCGGTACAGGGCTTTAGAATATCGATACAGTATCGGGAAGTGAAATATCACGATATTTCAGTGTATCGATATTTTCTTACACCCCTATGTGTTAGTGTGACTGTGTAGAAAGTGAAAGTGTGAAATGTAGAGAAAAARMAAAAAAAAAAAAAAAAAAAAAAAAAAACCCCAAGCAGCAGAACACAGAAGCTGTGATCAAGCTCAGAATCTGTGTAAGCCAGCAGCAGAAACATTATGACACAATTAGGCCAATCTTCTAGTTGCCTCGCTCAGATGCATATTGGTGTTGAGAATGTTAGAACTCCAAGAAGAGGAAGAAATATAAACAAGCTGTTGCTTCAAAGAGAAAATGTCTACATTTTTACACTGCAGACCCTCGCTTCAAGAGGTTTTCATAAAAAAACACAAAATCAAACATTTCCTGTAAACTTTGGAGGTTAGAGTGTAAACACTGCAAGTTTTTACCGTTCATCATCTAGTTTCAAGTAACTTTTATCAAGATATTTCCTGATCCTGTGAATGGAATAACCTACTTTTTGAGTCGCCAAACCAGTTAGATCCAACCTTAAAGAACAATGGGTTCTGACTGGCACGCTATAAACGGATAAAGTACCAGCTGTAAGAAACTAAAGAAAGGGTAAAACTACCTCAGGGCTGTGAAGTGGCCTCTGCTATCCAAAGGCTCCTTTCATTACCAGTGTTTGATCCTTTCCTTTAGAAACTGTGGGAGGTACAATGTACTCAAATCTACTGAAAGGTGGTTACTTCAAGATCATTGATAATCATCCGCAATAAAGTTTGTGTTCAGTGTTAAACATTTTAATCTACTTCTGGACGACAGCAGAATATCTCTTTGACAAAACTATGATTGGTGCTGCTGCATCAAATAAACACCAAATCTAATAAAATAGTCCTGAATAATTGTGGACCTGCAACATTTTTATGTGTTTTTTATGTGTGTATAAAGCTTTAGTTTTGTTTGGAAGTAAAGAAATAAAGTTAGAATTAGAATTACCAATGGAGTTGTTATGTTTGTTATGCTACTATTTATTTCTGAAAGAACATTTTACAAGCACCGCAGTTTTCTGGCCAATGGCCAATTTTTATGAAGTCTGACCTGCAAATTCCCATTTTGGCCGATACCAATTTTTTAAATAACTGACACTGTCGGGTATTATAAGGTCACACGTTCAATGTTCCAATCTTATTTTATTAAAAAACACTGAACAATACCCTTGAAGCAATACAAACTTGTTTTAACTGGACAAGAGGTAGTGCTCAGCAGAGCAAAAGGGGACAGTGGCTGACTTTCAGACTTTTGTGGAAAAAAATCTTATCTAAGTATCTCCGATCTCCCAAAATTAAGGAAATAGGTGCACCCTTATTCACAAGTATATCAAGGTTTTCCACCACAAAAGTCCAGTTCTCGGACGTCACAGTCAAAATATTCATTTTTGAACCTTAATGAAAGTGAAACCTTATTTAAACAGAAGAAAGCATCTTTATGCTCAGATGATGAAACAAAAGCAAGGTTTCTTTTCTCTATATCTCATTAATCATTAAAGGGATCCACAATTAGTTGTAACATTAGAGTTTATTTGATAAACATTTATTTTAACTGTAAAATAAAGACTGTAAAAATACTGTAGGCTGTTTAGTTTGTAAAATTTTTTAAAATTTATTTTAGCATGGATGGAGACATTTTATTTACACGCAAAGCATTCTGGGTAAATGATGACGTGGATAGGTCCTCGGTGTGAGTGAGCTGTATCCACCCTGAAGGTTAATCTTGGACAATATCTGATGATCGACTCTTTTAAATGAAACCAGAGAGCATTGACAGAGAGGAGAAGGTAGAAATGAATAATCGAATAAATAATCGGTGATTAATCGATTATTAAAATAATCGTTTGTGGCAGCCCTAATCATCACACCGTCTACAAGATGACCAGCATGAACTCACTACAATGAGTTTGACCCTCGCTAAGTCAACTAGTTGACTAGTTTGATCCTCACTGAGTTAATGAGTTTACCAATCTGACGCCCACTCAGTCAACCAAATTACCAGTTTGACCCATCTGAACCTTACTCAGGGGTGGCTGTGGCTCATTTGTAATTTAATGAGAGAGTGAGAGGTTCACTTCTAGTATAAAGTCACATAAAGTGTTCCTGGGACACAACAACTCACTGCCTCCAATGTGCCCCATCAGTGTATGAATGCAATCCAAAGCATCGATTAGACTCTTTATAATATATATTTTTAAATAATTTGTAATAATTAATTCAGATTAGCTTTGTAAAGATGTAGCAGAGGGCTGTAAGAATGTGTGTGTTTGGCTGAATGAGGGCGCAGATTATGTTGTAAAGCTCTTTGAGTAGTCTGGTAGGTTAGAAAGGCTCTATTCAAGTACAGCCTATTGATCTCCCATTTAAACCAGTAGATCAATCTGACCCTCACTCAGTCAGTCAGTTGATCTGTCTAGCCTTCACAAAGTAAACAAGTTTACCAGTTCGGCCCTCACTGGATAAACTAGTTTACACGTTTGACCTTCTGACCTCCAGTCTGTCCTCATGAACATCAGCAGGACTCATCATCAGCTCCCACCCAACAGCATAACTCCACCTGCTGCCTCTCCAAGCTTCTATGGCAACATATTTGTGTTTGTGGACTGACCGTTGAACACAGCCTGTCCTTTAGCCAGCTCTTGGTCCACTTCAACGATGTCCTCCTCCCGCGTAAACCCCCTGAGACACAGCAACGACTTCTGACTGTGTGTCAGTGACTGCTCCGCTAGAATAACCTGCAGAAGGAAAGGAAACACAGAGAAGAATGAATAAAAATGACATCTTCGTTGCTTACTAGAGTTTAAAATCACATCCACTTCTTTAGGCTCAAAATTGCATGATGTAGACTTGGACAACTGACTAAACATAGACTTATTGTATGACAATAAAGTTAAATAAAAGGATTTTCAGTGACTGAAAGTTTCAATTTCCACGCCGTTCAGATTAAAACTGAAAAATCTCATGGATAAAAAAACAAAAACAAAATGCTTTCAAGAATTAAAAAAGGCAAGCCATAGGATTTCCATGTCCTGGTTGATTAAGTCTGCTAGGGAAGGGGATTAAAATCATAGACCGTAAAGAATAGGCAGACCTTGGAATTTAAGCCAGAAGCTTAAGACAAATGGAACCAGTACATTCAAATATTCAGTTTTCTATTAAGTTTACTTGGAATTAGTTATTTGATGCTCAAAAATGGTCAAAGAATACCATGGCTGTATGCCGGAGAGCAGGTGGGTCTAAAGCCTCACATCACCAGTGCACAGACACTGTCAGCTTTCCTGCTGGCTTCACAACCCAGTAATGAGAGAAGGCGGGGACATTAGGCCTATTACGATAATTGTCTGTGGACAAAATCATTTTGTAGATGCATCGCATTGCAGACATGGAAGATTTTAAAATCTATCTTCACATGCCAAAACCAATTTTGTTAACAGAAATTCAATTTGGCTGCCACAGCTGCGATTTTCAAAAACTGCCCACACAAAATACATCCGCACAGGTCGCTAGTCGCAAACATTCAGAATTCAGTAAAACTGAAACAGAAACTTTGCTTATTTTCTAACAGTTTTAAGTTGCCAACTAAACTCCGACAGCCACAACCTCGAATTACGAACATGACTTTAATTAGCTCAGTGCTAAACTTTTCTATGATTTGATTGGGATTGGGTCCTCCAAATATTTTTTATTTTCATTGGGAATTAGAATGATGCTGATTGGCCGAGCTTTGCTGTGGCAATTATAATGTATTAGCACTTATGCTAACTACTGATCAGAGAACTTTGATTAATAGTTTTTTTTACATAAGTCATTGTGTGCTTTTCGTATATGCATGAAAATATATAAATCTATATAAATTTATATAAATATAAATTTAATATAAATATTTATACAAATATAAATTTCCATAACAAAAATCAAATTGAATCATTCGATTTCCTAGAATCTGCACCAACATATTCCAATGTTCATAAAACTATAAACTTGACAAACTAGAGCAACTACAGAAACTATTACAGAACAATGAATAATTGTTTCCACATCCTCAATGTTTTTATGGCTTAGCAAAAACAAAGTGCAACTAAAACGCTGAGCATCAAAACATATATACAGTATATAAAAACTTGGTTCAACACCAGTTTAAACTAAGAGCATTATTAATCACCAAGAAGAGCAGCAGGCAACTGGGTCAATTAATTTCAATGATAATTAATGTCCAGACTTTTGTCTATCCTGTCTTTGAGCCCAACAGGACTCCCCCCTGACCCCCTTTGTGTCCCAGATTCACACTGACACACATAGGAGCAAATCCCCCTCCACTCTTCTGCTCCACAAAGCAGCATAAAAGCATCTGTTGTAGGTTCCCTGAGCACCAGGGGCATTCTTTTGTGATTAAAGTATTGACGTGAGGAGAGTTGATTTGTTTCTACTTAAACCAAAAACTGTAAGCTGTCACATTCTTGTGGTTCACTCTAGCATGTCTGTAAGGAATGGGAAGCAACGCCCTAATGCTCAAATTCCACAAACAAAAAATAAGAAATATTCAAACAGAAGCAAAATTTCAGTTAGATACTATTGAGGGTTCCAGTGATCATCCCTCTGTGACATTTAGGTCCCTTTCAGACACTGCCCCGCTTTCCATCAATCTAGATGCTACTAAATGTGTCAACATTCTGTGTAAATGAACAACTTGGTGCTCTCTGTACCAAACTTCAACAAGAATTAATGTAATAACAGTCAAAGTACATCTTCTCTGAATCGTCTAACTTCCCTCAGATCTGTCAGATCTGAGGAGAAACTCAAGGTATTCTGTCCACTGCCTGACTACATCTTCAGGTAACACCCTGTCCCCTACAGTGTTGGCAAAGCACTGCTTCAATCACTTGAGCCATCTGGTTGTTTGCCAGAAATGATCTGAGGCCAATGAAAGGTTGCTATTGGTCAGCCTCAAACTCCTATCAACCATCCATGTCATTGACCTACATCTGCCCTGAAGCTTTCCCAGTAAGATAATTGAAAACTTCAACAGAACATCTTCCAGGACTGCGCTCTGGGGCTCCATGAAGACTGAATACGCTGAACTACAGTCACACAAATACTGTATCTACGAACAACAGTCAGAACCATTTCCCTCACCTGAATCACAAAGTGTACACTACATATCTAGACCTCCGATTAGAACTGGGAAGTTGAAACTGTCAGCTGGTATCAGTACAAGTTTTAAGACTTACTCCTTTCATGTTAACAAATGGGACATTGCCCTTGTTAGAATAAAAAGTACACTACAGCCTAGAAGCACTTGGGAGTGCACATTCCTGCCAAGACCCTAATAGTGTTTCATCTACCATTATCTAAGGAAGGTAGCCTGGTAAAGAAATCAGCCCCTTGTTCAATGCTTTGCTTTGTACGAGGGTCTGGAACCTCAGCTACTGGGAAGCAATTTCTTGCTGAAGGCGTGGACTCTGCTGAAGTTTTAAAAGATTGGATCTGATTTTACCCAAATCACTAATGTGTGGGCATGATGCACGTAGTGTGCCAGCTCAACCATGAAGGAAGCTAAGCTAAGAAGCTAACCAGAAATTACCTGCTGCAAACAACCATCCTCTACTGGGAAGAGAGAAGTACAGAGCCGAACAACATGGCTTTAAATGAGTGCTGCAGGTTTTGTGAGACAAATTTAACTTAATTTGGAAGACTTGTCAACATAGACTGGCTTCATTCACTTCCTCCACTGCCATACCTAAACTACAAGCAGACTAAAATGGCGCAGAAAATCGATGTCATCGTTCGAAATTCCTGATTGGCCCACTTCAAATTCTACTGGAGAAATCCTTGTCTATGGGAGAAATCCCAGACAGAGCAGTGAAGGGAAACTAGAATTGATCTGAACTGTGTAGGAAGGCAAGGGCCAGGCTACAAGGAGGGTGCCCACCCTGTCAACAGACTCAAGCGCACTGCCTTCAAAAACTAACCACCAGCCCCGCAAGTTCTGCTGGCTACAACATAGCTTTAGTAGCGTAGCATTCTGCTAATATTTATTTTTTTAACAGTTAACTGCAATGAATTATTTAATGCTTAAAAGAAAGGTCATGTTACACTACGATCATGTGCAGTAGAGTAGGCTGAACCTAGAATCTCACATCACTAAAATCCAGTCTCTGGTTCCAGAAATATAACATGGGAGCTCCTGTAAAGCAGGTCTTGCTCGCTTCAACCCCCAACAGTGAGGCATTTGGTCAATAATATGTAAAGTCTGACTCGATAGGTAAAGACACCAAACTCTCATCTACTAGAAAAAAATACCAACAATTAGTTGACAAGACAAGTAGCCATGAAGAAGTCATCCCTATTGCCTCTCTCCAAAGTACAACAGAGTCCAGCCTTTTCCAGAAGATTGGTTCCATATAGCCAGTTTCTCTCAGTCTCCTACACAAGCTTGAGTTATTTCCCCACCAGTGAAATGTTTTCCCTAAACCAGTTTCAACAATTAAAGATCAGCCCTCCAAGGCCTCTGACTGTTGACCAGTCCACAATTTACTGGTCCCTTAGGGATGGGCAGCGATGTTTGAGAATTGGAAAAGCCGTTAAAATGGACTAATTGCAGTTGTCTTTTTCTATGCTCGGTTTACTGAGCTGACACTTCAGCTGTATTCATTAGACCTGAGTGAGCAAAGAACAAAATAAGCATGCGTAATGAAAAGCCTCAATAGTTGCAACTCAGTCTTTGTTCATGTGTTTGTCTTGTTGTGGAGGTCGACAGGAGACAAGATAGGTGGATGTCAAACATTCACAGAATTGAATGATTACAAACAAACCTGAGGAGAATTTTGCATGAAACTCAGAACCCTAATCTACATAAAAATATTTTCAGCTAGCCCCATTCACTACTGGTTGATTGATGATGCACCCAACTGTCTGATTGCTCATCAGGAGCACCACTGATGTGGCATGTCTGATTAAAGCTGTGAGGAGCATTAATTTAAATGCAACCAATACTTGACTGCGGTAGTTTTAGCTAATTCATTTTAAGTGTAGGACTTTAGAAGACATATGGAAAAAAGAAGTGGGCAGAAAAAAGCAGAAGGAGATCTAGAGGTCCTGAAAAAAGCAGAAGGGTTCATTTTAGAACAAAAATGAATCTGAACAAAAAAACCTGAAGTAGTTTTTTTTTAACATGGCAGTAAAGGTTTTCATGAACTACTACTGCTGAGTACAAAAACTGAAAATAAACCCAATGTAAGTCAGTTTTCAAGCAACTAAACAATTAACAGACCAAGGTAAATATTAACAGTTAAAACTAATGAATATAATAAATAAAATCAATAATTTGAGATGACATCAATTAACCAAACAGTTTGAGTAAAAGAAAATAACCAACCACTGGCTGGAAATAAGAAGATTTTGCTGATTCCAGCTGTTCAATGTAATATTTACTAAAATTGAAAACACACATCCTCTTTCTAATTCTAAACTGTACAGATTTTTATCACCTACATCAACAACTTCTGTGCATTTTATCTGCAGGAGATAAGTGATGTAGATCATATGTAGAAGCAGTTTTCTGAGATTATACTGTTTTATTGCTTCTGGATGATCTTCTCTTCAGGAGGGTGCATCAAAAGAAAAATGAAACATTTAAATACCTTAGAGTTTATTGCAGCAAACACACACACACACACACACACACACACACACACACACACACACACACACACACACACACACACA